TTTATTTATAAGTTTGGTTCATTAGACACAAAGTCTGATTTTCATAATTTTTGGGATACAAAAAACAGTTTTGTTTTGTTTTGATTTTGTTTATATTGTATTTTAACAGCACCATAACTGTGTTGAATCGTTTTTGGAGTAGATTGTACTTTTTTTATCTCCTTTCACATTGGTCCAAATCATCTAGTGTTCTGTGAGTGATACTTAACTGTTATATAATGCATTTGATCGCTAGATTACCATGCCTTGGCAACGTAATAATTATTCCCGCACTAGTCTATCATTTGCTTTGATAAAACTTTTTTTATCTTTCGATCACTACATGAAATTAAAACTACAATGTAAGAAAATCAGCTTAACTAATAATTTGGCGTATCCATTGTTAAAATAAGAAAGATATGAACAGTTACCTATGTAGTGATCAAATTTTTTTCCAGCGCGATTTTAACAATCCCAAAATACATTTTGGCGTCGGGTGCCAAGATATCTGATCGTGTGTAATATGTTTGTCACCGCTGTTGTTACGCAATTTAGACCTCTAAACATATGTTTGTAAACACTGATGTCTCGTTACCAAGTTTATAAATATATCAAGGTAATAAGCAAAATATTCAGTTGCCAGATGACCGGGTCATCTACATCGTACACCGCTACATAAGATTATTCTTGATTTGTAACTGTTTTTATCTAGAGGTATACGATGAAGGGCATAGATGCAGATTTTAACAGAGGATTGCTTAATAGACCATTATTTAAAACCGTTGAAGCATAAAATGTATGCCAAATAATGAATAAATCAGCGATAATGTTTATAAACAATGAAAGTAAACAAGGATTTAAAATCATTCCTCAAAAAACTCAGAATCCGTAAAAGATAGTCGACAGTTTGAAAACCAAGCAAACTCGATTTTAATTAATGGCTCCCCTCTGGCCGACTAGATTTCCTTCAATCGGTAGCCGCACTTGCGATTGTTGCATAAACAAAAGACAACTATTGCTACTTAGCCTACTAAGCAACTACGAGCAACATGTTTATAAAACGCCATGTTGAAGAAGAAAATCAAATTTAGAATTGTGGAACAACACTTTTTGAAAGAGATTAATGATCATGGCCAAAATCTTGTTCTACCACTGTTTCACTGCAAGCACACAGGTGTTCAGTGAAGGTCGTTCATGCATATAATTCCTGATATCTCGAAAACCGCCTTTCCCTTTTATTTCATCAACAATATGCCAGCAACAATTTGGTAAAAACAAATATAATAAAATCGCAGGCTTTCACCCAAGAGACCGTTGAAGGTCGCTGACTTTTCAGATCTATCTCGCGAGAGCCTTTTAAGGTTCAACGAACGATCGTCGACCAAGGGTAACTTTGTTTTGCGTTTTCTATTTTTCGGTTGGACGTGCCTTAAGGCCTTACCAGCAGTCGCATTGGTATTCATATCGGTTGGTTTTCTACCGAGCAGCAATTGAGTTGTACTCCTCGGGTATTGTTAAATTATCGCCAGTTTTATCAGGGATCTTGGAATTAGAATAGTGGAAGGCTACTGTTAGCCTAACATCGCTTTCAATTCATTGATAGTATCAAAATGCACTTCATGAACAGTTATTGGTTGGTTTATTTACGTTGTTACGAACCGTTCTTTGTTTATTATTCCTCTTTTTGCTAAGATACCAAATGCTTGTTGGATAATTTGGTTTTATGATTTGCTTCTTTTAATCAGTTGGAAAATTACAAAGAAATATGTTTTTTTTTATAGCCCTATAGGTTATAAGCAAATTGTTTTTATAAAAAAATGGAGTTGAAACCAGTAACTTAAGAAACTTGGAAACTTTGGACACTTCAACAGAAGATGAATGTTGAAATGACTTTAGTTTTATAGAAAATGATCTGTTTGGTTAGAGATTATTTTCCATATTAATTTCAAGAAGCATCCCCAGATTTTGACACATTATCAGAAGATTTAAAAAACAATGAGATGGTGAATGTGTGTTAGATATTTAGGACTGTTTTTGAAATGTCTTCATGAGAATGGAGCTGTTTGGTGTGAACCGTGAAAATAATTGAACGGATGAAGGCGTTAGCATAGTTGCGAATACATTGTATGAAGATACCTACAGAGAATATACCTATAGGTAGTAAGTAATGAAGTTAATAATTATAATTATTGTGATTTATAATCCAATAGCGTTAACCTTTTCAAGATGACCTCAGATAGAAATAATACGTTGCATTAAAAAAGTATCCATGCACTTTCGACACAAATTAAAAACATTGTAGGATTTGGTTTCACCTTTACACAAGAAAATACCAATATTGAAGTGAAATTTGAAGGAATTTATAACTGTATTTTCGGTTTATCATTAACCTATTGACTCTGATTATTACAATAAAAACGGTTTTTAAAAGTGTAGACGATGAATAAAATTTGCTGTAGGTATCGCTTAAACAAACGTTTCTACGTTTATAACATAACAACTTGATTCTCATTGACACGTGTGTCGTACAAGGATATGTTTATCGTACACGTTTTCAACCAATTAAGCGCTGCCAAAAATATAATTACACACCTATATATTCCCATTTAAATACCTCAATGACGCGACAATGATTTTTGATTTCTAGTTCAGTTACCTCTATAAATAAATAATTGCCGGGTTCGGCTTGGTTTTTTGGTCACGATAACAGTTATAATTGTACATAGGTAGTCGAAATAATGGATTTTTTTGTTAGTTTTTGGTTGTATCAACTATTAGGTTTTATCTAAATGGTTTATCGGAAACTAAATATATAATTTTCAACATTTAATTGAAATCGATTCTTAGAAAAGTGGGAAAACAAAATATTTACCATTTTAATGTTTTAAAATTATCGCCAGTTTTTTTAATAAATTAATTAATAATAAATTACAACACTACGCAGTTTATTATCTTTAACAATAAACCTTATTTTAATGTATGCCAACGAGCAACTAAAACCAACTTTTCCTCGATTTAAAAACGGAATCGCCCAATCCAGCAGCAAATGAACATTTCCAGGCAAGAGTTGATTTGTCGTGACCAAGCCTACTCCGTTCATTTGCGCAACGAAACCTTGATAGTAAATAGTTTCGTCCTTGTTTTAAGTTTGTGTGGCTGTGCCGGCCGGCTTATTGCCGGGCAAGCGTATAAGTTGCTGCACCTAACCTATTCCATCTGGTGGTGTTTGTCTATTTTTATTGCGGCGAATTACGTACGTAACTAAACGATTATGCATCCTCGTGTTGCAATGTCGGCCCGTGTAGGTTGAGTAGGTGACTTTTGATTTTTTTGTGGGCTGAATTTTGCTATTTTTATTGGGCTCTAGCTACTGCACTCAAGGTCTTGGTAATTGAAAATATTGCTTATTATTAATGCAAGATTACAAAAATCAAAGTAACTACTATTAAAACAAAAACAAAATTATGTCGCTTGCTAATTAAAGTAATGGGAAATAAAATGACGTTACTCGTATTCAGTGATTTCCTTTAATATGTATCAACTGACGTCTAGCATACCACTAATTGACTCATCCAATGGATTTCATACACGGTTAGATGAAAAACCTCGTTTATAAATGACAGATATTTAGCTTATAATCTACGATACATCCTGCATAATACCCATTTTCTATCAATCGGAATCAATTTGCTCGCATCGCTGGCCATAATTACTTTAGTGGGTCAAACTTTGCAAGGTATAATTTCCGCAATTGAGATTTTCAAAAAAAAAAATAACTGCGGCATCATTTACATCTGTTCGTAATTATTTTAATACGATACAAAAAATTGTTTAATAGCTAAAATTAAACCGTTAATATTTTATGGTCAGCTAGAAAAACTTGATTATTTTACATGGTTTTGCTTTCACTTTTTTGACCAGAACCCCGAATAAAATATTAAAGATTAGAAATTTTTCTTTACCAATAAATATACTTTTTGTTACGTAAAAGTCGCGATTTGAATAACTTCAGCTAGACACACAAAATCCAACCACTTTCACCAAACAGGAAGGTATTTTAAATATTCCATTAATTTTACCATTAGAAATCTATAATTTTCGATTTTGATATGAATTTTTCCACACGCAAGAATTTTACGTAATTAAAACTTTTATTTGGTGATTTATTGTCTACTATTTGTTTATTACATTTTGCCCCGTCCGGACGCGTCCTGTTGAATCCAAATGGTATCACTAGATCTGGCGAAACATTTCTGCTAATGTGGAAAGAAGAGAGTTTTGCAAAGATTACAAATACGTTTGCCCTGTCATATTCTCGTTAAAGAAGAAAGGACCTATGATCCGATTTTTCACCATTCCTGCCCAGGCATTTACTTTTTGCCGGTATTGGGAATTTGCCTCACTACCCAATGAGGATTTTCTCTGCTTCAGTACCTACAATTTTGACGGTTGACTGTACCATTCAAACAGAAGGTAGCTTCGTCCAAAAAAAGTATTTTACGAGGAAAGTGTTTATTATTGTTACATAAATTCACCATAGTTTTACAAAATTGAAGTCTACGGTCCGGATCATCTTTCCTGCACTATTCTAATTTTGTATGGATGGTACTTTTCTTTCTTTCTTCATAAAACGTAATACTGAGCGTTGGCTGACTTGACTTTCAGCTTCGGCTAGGCTAGAAGGACTGTGAGGATCTTCTTCCACACGTAACACAATGTCAATTTTAGTGTCTTCACTGATACTCGGAAGGCCAGGTTTTGGAATATCTTTAATATGTCCAGTCCCTCTGAATTTCCGTTCAAACTAACCGTAGCACGAGTAATAGAATACTTTGCATTAAATAAATTGCAACTTCTTGTTGTGTTCTAGTTTTATTGCCACATCCTATGAGAATTAAAATTAAATGGCTCATATTTAAATACTTCGAAATATTTGTAGAACGCTTAAGTGACAGATACTTCACTGAACGCTCAGCTAAAAGTAACCTTCTAAAACCACAACTGAAATATTCTTGACCTACCTTTTTCTTCCTGGGCATCTCATCAGGGTCATCCATAACGATCCCTTCATCCGATACGGAACTCGTGGACAGTGGAGTAGAATTTGGGGAGTACGTCCTTGGGGGTGGGGAAGGGGTCGATCTGTACGAAGCAGAAGAGCTGCTGCTTCCTGGGGATGTGCTTAACCAGGACGAAAATGCTGAAAAAAGTTAAGAAATTGATTTCCTGAATTATCGGTTATCCAGTTTTTAAACTATAGGTGTAGGTTAAAAGCCTTGGAACTATACTTGGTCTTAATTGTTTTGGACTGGTCAAACCAAAATACCATTTCCATTCAAAAGTCAATAATCGTAAAATTCTGTGTAAAGCATGCGATCGATCCATTTCTCGGTAATCCTTTAACTGCATTAACATTGAACTTTGCTTAGCAAATTACAAGATTTAAGTGGTTCGTACGCATTACCACACCTCCGCTATCTCCGGCTGGGTTAGTCACCGTACAAATAAAATTAATCAGTTCCTATTCGATCTAAATAGTTCACCCAGTTGTGTAAAGTGTAAACATAACCTTATTCGGAATAACAAAGAGAACAAGGGAGTTAAAAGTTTGTCGTTCGGTTTAGGCACGTGCGTTAATTATGCGTAATTGTTACGACATTGTTTTGTTGCAATTTTATTAAGTAGAAAAATGCACACGAGCAGAATGTGTTTCTAGTAAACAATGAAAGTATTCGAAACGTGACGTTTAGAAAAAGTTTATTGTGTAACGCCATATTATTTATGCAAATTTCACGACTCTGTTATTAGTGCAAACAATATGTATTGCCTTGACGACCAGTATTAAAAAAAAAATAAACAACAATATTAAACAAAAATGCAACATTTAGCTTAAAACAAATCTTCTCAGAAGTTTTTTGAGCTGATTTATATTATCACAGCTTTTAATATTCTCAGGTGGTTTATTAAACTCAATTAAACCTTTGTGTAAAAAATGTTTAACATTTGTGTGGTATTACATCTATCTAGTAAAATAAAGTCTGTACAATTTATTTTAGTATAATTATGTACATCTCTAAAAACTTTTAATTTTTCACAGATAGGTATATTCGGGTAACAGATTTTGTTTTATTCAGATGCATATCTATCGGTGGCGGCTCGTCGTATAAAGCAACTGAGGCCGGGCCTCACATGTTAAAATTATAATATAATTTGAAATTTTCGATACATTACTTATTTAAATATAAAACGTTTTAAAACTAATTTTCAGTCATTAAAAGTATCAAAACATAGAATAACCATTAAAGTTGAAAATATTTCTTTTAAATTTAGCGGGGTGCGCTAAACGCTTAAATCATTGCCCGACCGCATAATAGGGATATAGTAATCCCATAAATTTGCGTTTCATATACGTCACACATTGCCGATACAACATCATGCTCCCCATCTCTGCACGGTGCCGCAAGGCGGGGATAATACGCAAATTTTTGTAGACATTGAGGCCCACAAAGTTGGGCTTGTACCACAGTATATGGAAGACAGCAGAGTCAGTCCCGAGATCTTTGCGCTTATCAGCCGTTGTAAAAGACTGGGGGGGGGGGCGTGGAATGTTTTAGTAAACAAAGCTTATTAATTAGATCTATGCGTGTTTATAGTTTCTTATTTCTGTTTAGTCTTTGCCTTAGCGTTAAAATGGAAAGTTGTGATAAAAATGCAAGCGTAAATTATTGTGTTGTGAATTCATGTAAAAATAATTTAAATAATTATAAAAGATCATTTTTATTTTAATATATAATTATATTAACACACAAATACCACATTAAAAATCACAAAAATATAAATAAAAATATTCATGGTTTTTTATAGTTCAGTGTTAAATCGTTGAGTTTCATATACCTACATATACTACTGTGCTTGAACATTATTATTTTGTTGTTGTGAGGTTGTGCCTTTATTAATCTAAAAATAATTATTGTAAGATAGGTAAAAATGAGCAGTACCTCCTGGGTAATGTGGAAACCTGCTGAAGGAATAAATTAAAAATCCCACCTCTTCCCACCTCTTTTTGTATTATTCTAGCTAAATTTTGAAAATTCTTCTCGTGAAAGAACATATTTTTAAATAATATATTTTTATTATTTAGATTCTGAAGTGCTCCAAAAACGCGAGACTAAAAATTTCAAAAAAAAATTGCCTGCGGTGCCATATAGCGGTTCATGGGCCTCACCTTCATAAATGGTCACGAGCCGCCACTGATATCTATATTGTCGTAAGCTAGCTTTACTTCCCTTGATTTTGTAGAAGGGCAGCCTAAAATAGCATGTCGGTAATGCTAATTCTTAGTTTAATGTTAAACAAACACAATTAACCATGTGCCTTCTATTTTAATGCCATTAAAATCTAGGAAAATCAATCATCATTCAGTTTCTCCTTGACATCGTTGTATGAAAACCAGCGATGCGATTCCGGTCGATAGATAATTTCGGAGAGCAATTCGATTATTTTTTATAGACAAAAACTCATTTTAGACTGCCGATAAGCGGTTTAAAAAAATTAGCTACACATCAATTAATTATGAGCTGCCAAAACAAGATCAATTTAATTTGCGTGACCTTTAAAAAACCCGTAAAATTTCGCAAGCGCTGATAAAAGGTTTCCAGTCCAACTAAACTGTGTCTAGGTTTACCACTTTCGTTTTTCGATAAGATGTCATCAAACATCAAGCAACACAATGCGATGCAATAGGAAATGCGGGCAAATTATGATTGTTACGTTCATTTCTTCTATCGTTCCCGCATTCTATTGTCTTACATCGTTATGATCTTTTGTTAATTTCAACACACTGATGGGAACAAATCGTTGATACAAAGATATCGACGATCTCAATGTTCAATTGTGTTATCTTGCAAGGTTGCTATTAGGCAAAAATAAGTTTATGCAATATGAAATAACGAAATATTTAGGGAGCCTCGTTAACCCAAACTTTGTCGTTCCACTGATACCGATGGAAAATATTGACATGAAAATATCTTTTGTGGTCGTTGATAACCGTAACCCAAATATAAGCCCATGATACCAAAAACATGAAAATATCCTGTTTTCGTGAACTTTCGGTTTCTTACCTGATAAATTTGGCGAATGAGGGGAACACGATAGGCTCATGAGGACCAATGCAGCACTGCACTCGTCCATTTGACTGTCTTTGGCCAATGGCAGGTCATCTTGGCTGTGACTTGGACGTCTTTTGCGAGATCTGAAATGCAAAAAGTAAAAATGAAAAATTGATGGCTGCCAATTTCGACCGGTTTTCCAATAAACATACAGTCCCTGTAAATATAAATTGTACCTATTAGATACAATAAATAAACATTTTAATGATTTACGTGAAAATAGTAAACATTTTAATTCAGTTAAAATCATAAAACAAATAAGTCGTCTAAATTCAAACCGCGTTATGAATTATTAAAAGCGTTGATTGAGAAAGTCTCTACTCAACGGTAAAACCACAAAAAACGGGTATTATATTACATACGTACATAAATATACATTTAACACTAGCCAAGCTCTGACAGTGCACATTAGTGTAAATATCCGAAAATCGCGTTTTGTTGTACAGACAAATTTCAAGTACAGTTCTTACAATAGCTCAGTTTAATGTATATAATAATTATTATTTTTTTAGTTTTTAGATGTTTTCCCTGAGAGTAAAACATGTCCATGATGTCAAGTTTAAAAACTTAAACAATTTAGCCAAAACCTTAGCAGTGAAATACCAGCAGATGGCATTTTATGGTGACAACTTTAGCACTCAATTGCAAAGAGGACCTTCAAAGTTTTATTTTGAGATTATCACTGCAAAAATTTGGTATATTTCCAGATTCGATAGAAATTTTAGTCACAAAATGGGTAAGATTTGGTTACCTGTATAAAACTACGAGATTTTAAGCTTCCTTTACAAAGAGCCATAACATTTACACCAATCTAACAGTGTCAATTGGTACTTTGTGCCAAAATATTATTTGGTGTTTTGAACGTATTTATATTTTAAGTAATTGCCAAAGATTAGTTTTATTTTTGTAGCGTAAAACTTACAATGGACTGTATTTTAATATAAATATAAATTTTATTTGTTTTATATAAACATTATTTAAACACCCCAGCAGCGCTATCCAAAAGTAATTCATATAATTAAAAATAAATGAATATATAAAAAAATAAAAAGAACAGAATCATTGCAAACCTCCATTAGGTATATATTTTTTTCAAGCATACAATAATTTTTATATTATAACACTTCAAAGTCTATATAAAAAGACTTCAATGAATATTAATAATACTAGTTCAAAAGTCAAATTATTATTTTACTTCATGCGGAAATGAAGCTAAAATGTCATTGTCTGTTCAACCTAACCTAAAAATGATGACAGAATTTTAAAAAATTAAAAATGAATATATAAAAAAATAAAAAGAGCAGAATCATTGCAAACCTCCATTATATATTTTTTTCAAGCATACAATAATTTTTATATTGCTAAAGTTTTCCTAAACAGCCCTTATTTTGCCCCAAATTACTACTGTATTTTGTATATAAATGTAATTTATTTTTAAATTACTACTGTATTTTGTATATAAATGTAATTTATTTTTAAATTTTATTTGGCCGGACCCCCTGAGCCGTGACTGACCTTAATCTTACTTTCATACGTGACCTTTAGGCGTTCACAACACAATAAAAAAACCTCTAAAATTAATATTAAGCATGGTTACAACACACAACTTTTAAGGTAGTAAAAGTTATCTCGTATTGCCTGATTATTTCATAATCTTTAAATTGTATTGCTTAGGTTTACCATGCAGTTAACAATAATAATAATATTAATAAAGAATATCATAGCGAGTTTACAGCAAGTCAAATTATAACATGCTTAAATAAGTTTTGATTTGGTTTCAATTAATTGTCACTTGGTATAATTGTTTCACATTTATAATTTAATGTTTTATTAAACCATTAAATGCGCTTTAATTTTGATAAACTAGTCCAACCTTTCACAAAATAACTTTAGAACGTGAATTGTTTAGTGCAATTATAATTTAATTTAGGTAAAATACTTAACTAGAAGTAATATTTTAAATGGTAGGTACGTTCCACCAAATTACTATTTTTATCTAATCCTACATTGGCGAGCTTTGACTATGGCGTTTTAGTCATGGGCTTAAGATAGCTATAGTTGCTTTTGGGCATTTTAGTCACGGGGTGAAGTTAGCTTTATTATAAATTGGGGAAAGTGAGGTTAAATTCGTTTAAAGTTGACAGATGTCAAATTTTTAAACTTTAAAATTGGCTTAAAATTCTTTTTTGTGTTCGTCGTAGATAAAGTATGGTATGCAACTCGTTTTATAAACTTCTCTAGACACTCGTTCTTATTAAACACTCGCTTGCAAGCTTCGCTCGTGCCTAATAAAGCTCGTAACTTAAATGGCATTTATAAAAGTACATTTCAAATGTTATTATTGTTGGTATAAAATAAAGGAGAATTTTATTTTAGTTTCTTACCTTGGGCAACACTTTTTGTTAAGGTCTCTTAAGAATAATTTCTTAAGCAATAAAACTGATACTCGAGCAGTTAATTTACTGTACTGCTGTATAATTTTAATGTAAGATTGAACCGTTACATGTAATTTACTATTATTATAATCAGCCTTGCCGAATTGCTAATTGAGAATTGTATATCTGATTTAATGCTTACTATTATTATATATTACTTAAAAAAATATTTATGTTAAGTGTTCCTTAATCATTTTTATTGTTAAACTTAAATGAGTATTGTAAAGTCGTTTAAATTAATTTTCTGTGGGTTGCACACAGGTGTGACCCCTGAGGCACACTCATAATTTTGCGATGTGAGAGACCCATCTTATAACTAATTGAAACGACTTGTAAAAGTTTTCGTTGGTAAGAAATTGAAAGTAAATTATTAACGAGGTCATTCTTGATAGAGATTGCTAAAATCTTTATTTCCTGTATTGTTACAGTTTTTTCGTCATGCTGCATGTCCGGTCGAGATAAGAAAGGTTTTAGAGTAAGTACTTGGTTTTAGAATTTTAGGTCTGTGAACAATTACAATTACTTACAGGTAAACCAGTGATTTTAGTTTCAGACTTATGAAAACACCCAAAAAAAGATGTTTGACATTTAAGATTTAAGTTTCAATTTTGCTAAATCCATCCTTACCCGTGATGGAAAGATGGCGCTGGAACATCTATGGTATGGGAGGCAGTTCTTTTTCTGTCGCCGGCCATGTCTGCCAACCTGGCAAAATCGGTATCTTGATCTGCCAGTCTGGCGCTTTTTCTGGACTCCAGAAGTCTCACTTCCTCCAAACGTTTTTGGACTTCGAAGGGAGCCTATAACAAAAGAGAACTTTTTCACTAAAGAACAACGAACACTGTTTTGGTTTGCCGCACGCTTGATGCAAACAATATTGTAAATTTAATCTGGCATGTTTGTGTGTAATAATAGGCACGTTCGCAATTAGTTGGCTGCGAATTAAAGGTCAAACAATACACTGTCGCCAAGCAGACTGAAATATTATTATCTACACATGCAAAAATCATAAACTACACAATAAACATTTTCCGTTACGTCAGACATTCATATTCATTTATGTGTAGGTACCTAATCGGCGTAAATTATATATTTTTTGTTTTAGGCTTTTTAAATGTTGTTTCAGAACTGTCATATTTTTGTGTTTCCTAAGTTGGCAGAACGAAATTTAAAATAACAACTTTAAAAAGTGCTAAAAATTGTGTTGAGATTTTCATAAAACTATTTTTTTTAGTTATTTAAAATTTGTACGTTGGCAATCCAAAATTACCGCATGCTTAGAAGAATGTGTCTAACAAATGTGGTTGGATCATACTTTTTAGGTGTTCTTATAGAAATATTTATGATTTTAAGATTTATATGTTATTTCTAATAGAAATAATCAAACCATAAAAAATTGTTGTGCACTCAATTCATTTGTTGCTTCCAAGGTTGAGCATGAAATACCGCAGAAATGTTACCACAGTACAATCTTGTTGTTTACATAGTTTTTTCATCATATTAATTCTATTTTGTCCCACTATCTCGCTTTAACGCAACACTTTTAACGGTAGTGGCAGGCGAATAGCATGAAGAAAAACACAAAAAACGGCCTCTAAATTACCACGCACACAATAATAAACGGATTTATGTTTTGTTTTTATGTTGGTGCAGCTGAGCGCAGTTACATAAACCTCATTTACTTATTTATTTCTGTGTTGTGCAAGTATGAACTTCCTTGAGATTTTATGCATAGTTTTTGTTTTAATGGTAAAGTAAAAACAAGTAGAATACATTAATTACCTTAAAAAAATAGAGGACATAAAAAATATCAGTCTCAAAATTAATTGTTGACATAAACAAAGAATATTTAAAATTAAAACAGATTTAGAATAGTAAAAACACAATTTAAAATGCAAAAACACAATTTAGAATGTTAAAATCTTTATTTTAATTTTTTTTAAATAAAAAGATAAAAAAAAAATTATGAATTTTATTTTATTTCAATTAATTTTCAAAACAAAAAAATCTTTAACTATTTAAGTATTAATTTTAACTCATGTATAATTTTTTTACAACTTTTCATTTCCTTGCCTTATCCATTATAATTAATAGTTTTTTATTTAAATTAGTTGTTAATTATAATTCATCAAAACCGTAGAAAATCATGGGAAACAAATCAGTTGTAAAGCGCATACATAGATACGTAATTAAATAATAAAAGAAAGTGTTAATTAATAAACAGAAAAAACTTGAAAGAGTTCCAAGCCAATTGGTTTATTATTAAAACCCGAATGCAAATAATGATAAAAATTGTTTTACATAATATAATGCTTTACTCTCTGCGTGCTTAAAAATAATTACCATTATATTCACCTGTTCATAATAAAGTGTTACCAACCGTCGACGTAAAGAAACTTTCACGGCGTATAACTTTCCCTGATTACTTTCACAAATATGGGCAATTTTATTGGAATTTTTTCGCGAAAAATCCATGCATTTTCAAATCGTGACCATCCCAAGAATTACGCACAATCACATCCTTAATAGAAAAACAGAGAAATTTATTTGAAAATTGCAAAAAATCTTTCAACAGTAATAAACATTTTCCTTCCAACCACAGAAACCCGAGGACATATCATGTAATAGGAAATGATAACAATATGCGATACCAAAAAAAAATCACCACATAAAATTAAATTAAAATTGTGTAAGATGTTTTTTTTGAAGTCCCACTCATTGCTTATAGCATACATTCTATTATTATTTTTTTCTAAAATGCAAGGGCAAATTTTGTTATTCAAATATATTTTAATGAGTTTATGCTGCCAAAAAACTGGTCTCCATTGAAAAATAACTCTAAACAATATACATTGACAGGAAAAAGTATGGAACAAATTCAGTAAAAAATGTGCATTTTTTTCTCCATTTCTGCTAATGTGGGAAGAAGAGAGTTTTTCAAAATACGCTTGTCCTGTCATATTCTCGTCAAAGAAGAAAGGACCTATGATCCGATTTTCCACCATTCCTGCCCAGACATTCACTTTTTTCGGGTAATGGGAAATTGCCTCTACTACCCAATAAGGATTTTCTCTGCTCCAGTACCTCAATTTTGACGATGGACTGTATCATTCAAACAGAAGGTAGCTTCGTATTCGAATCTCCAAAAAAGAGAGGGGTGCAATTTAAAAAAATGACCGATTACGTCAGAAATATTACAAAAATGACGAAAAATATTAAAATTGTACATTAAAATGTGGGTTATTGAAAAACAAAATTGACCTGTTCCATTCTTTTGCCGGTCACTGTAAGTATTTATTTTTGCTTTGAACTTTTGTATTTTATAAATATTTATTTAAAATCTTTTAAAGGTAAGAGTAAGTAAGTAGTAAGTTTAAGTAAGGAATCAAAACATTTTTGTTAAATTATGTATAAAGCATCTAATTTTTATTTGGGAATGTAATTGCCCGAAGGCAACAAGTGTAAAGAAATTGTTTGAAAATATTTCACCATAATTTATACACCTCTGAATTTGGGTTTTTAGGACAAGCAGCACAGGATTTCCCATCAAGAATTTTAAGCATTTTTGTGTATAATTAAACATTGTTTATGTACGTCAACAATTACGTATGGTATGTTAATTAGCCCCCTCACTTTTGGTTGACCTCTCTGCTACATTTTTATTTTGATGATTTACTTAAGTAAATAGCCATTAATCTTCATAATGACGTTGGTGTATAAAATACGTCATTGTAAAAAGTCGAGTATGCGAGTTGCAAATTGCAGTAAAAGTTTGTGTCGGCACTTGTTTCGGCGTTCTCTGGTCATCCGCGTGACGTCACAAGCGCGCTGCCGAAGTCTTGTGACCCAAATTTGGCCGGACTAACGGATATTCTCACTCCTCGCCAACGTTAACTGTAATGCATTTTTTGTTTCGCTGGTGTTTTGGAACAGCATTGATTTTTACGTTGTCTTGCCGCCATTACACTTCTTTGTAATGATGGTCTTCTATATATACTTGAGTTTTTCGCACGCATGAAGGTAGTAGTTACCAGCATGCATTACTTGAGTCTTAGATGGCTGATAATTCGAATTTCCATACGTCAAAAGTTTTGATGTTTAAAGTAGCAAATTGCTAACGCGAGATCACATCCAAACTATTATTAGGATTTTGTTGCCAACTGGTTGAGTTGATGACGTAGCCCTGTTTACGTCCGAGATGAATCACCCAAAACGATTTTTAGCGAGTGTGTCATATTTGGCGTCTTCAGAGCCACAAATTTTATCTTTACAACACCATTACCAATTAGTTAAACGTTTCATTAAAGAACTTAAATTGAATGTGACACACTTAACTGCTAGCTGTTGCATCACTAATTTAACAAATAACTTTAATTGTGAGGTCCAAACCTACAACAAAAAATCCCGCCCAATTTAATTTCTTCGGTTCGTCTTAAATCGCGAAGAGGCAGTGTCGCGATTGGCGAGACGTTTATCCCGGGAAATCGAAAGGATGAACCGGAAAATGCACCGGTAAAGTAGAGCGCAGCGTGACCTACAAGGCCTGGAACGCGTGCGACCCAGTTTGGTACTTAGACGACCTAAATTCCACTTGGAGCATCCGAAATTTTTCATCCAATTTTTTTAATTGTAGAGATTCTTATCCGTCACATAATTCTTTAAATTGATCTTCATTCTGTTATAAGGTTATAAGAGCAGAATACAAATAGACCGGATTTTAAATCAATAAAGCCAGCGAGAAATTATTTTTAAACAAACAGATTTATCATTATTTATCGATATTATATTGATTTAGGTTATTGGTAAGGTCTAGGCCGTGTAAATAGCATCCCACTTGTAGAAACTAGGTTTCACTTATGAAATGAGTGCCTTAATTGGCGGCGATGATCAACATATTTATATATGTATTATGCAGTGCTTATATAATTGCAAAGAGAATCGTAGGAGTAATAAATGTACTCTTAGTCAATTTGCTTCCATGGTCGTCTCCACAAAAAAAAAATGATCAATACAACAAAACATCGCCATCATTCACACAGGTTATTAATTTTCCAATACACTTGTTGAATTTCTATCTTGAAAATAATATGGTAACCTACTTACTTGCACAATGTAATTACGTGGCTAACGGAACAAGATTTCATTAGATTTCGGTATTAGCATGAAAGATGTTGCAAAACTTTCTTTTAAACCGAAGTAAGTATGTTTCGCCATTTAATGGAAATCCATCAAAAATTAATTGCTTTTTGATTGATTTGATGAAGCTTTTGTTGGACTGAACTTTTTATAGAAAATAGCTATACGGAAAGCAACGAACCAATCAGAGAACAGCTCTGTGAAAAATGCTCTGATTGTTTCTCATCTTAATTTTATCCTTGATCTTTTTAACTTTTCCCATCATTTGTCACTCTATCGCATACTTTTCTAAATATTTCATTGCTGATTCACTCCACTTAAAAGAACCATTAGTGTAAATGCAATAAAGGCGGCTCAATCAAGATTAGGCAATGAGCGTAGCTTGTCGAATTTCATTAATAAGATAGAAGCTGCACAAGGTTAATAGAGTTGTAGGCAGCGTTGATATTAGTTAATAAATAATGCGCTAAGTGAAGAAGCTAAATAGCATGCAGTTGCTGCACGTGTTGCCAAAAAGCTCGAAACTGGGACGCTGGTCGATACTGAAATGAGGTCGCACGCGTTCCGAGGGTTTCTCGGTCAAACCACGTCCCATTTCAGTCGATGCACTTGTCTCCCAAACCTAACTCCAAAAAATTAACAATAGAGGTGTGGTGCATATTTACTTGAGACCTAACCTTCAAGAGTGACCCCAAAAAGCGGTAGTTTCCTCTTGAGTGATTCTCACTTATTTTCCGAGCTTGTTTTACGTTGCAAAACATAATCAACTTTCACGAAATTGTGTGTTGAAAAATCCGATTACTTACGAAATAGGAAAATTGCTAGTTGATCATGCATATAATAATTTGTATAAGTGAAAAATCGGATTTGAGAAATCGTAAGTTAGCAGAGATGTAAACAAACGACGAGCAAATGCCGGCAAGCACACATAAAATATTTAACGGTAGTACGGTGTGCCACTTGCAATATGGGTTAAGACATGGTAGCAAACACACACACGTATACAAGGCGTCAGGTGAACGTTTCGTCTCTTGTTGGCAGCGCAACTATTAAGAAACGTTTCGCAACAACCTGTCCTGAGGTCGCTATTATATGATATGCCTTTCTCCTCAAGAACGAAACTTATCTGCTTGCCGCTTGTCAACGCAACTGAAAGCGAACCATACACTTCACAAGCACTCTTAACTGTCCTTTGTTAACTAGATTATGTTTATAGCCGTATCTGATTTTGGACATAATTGTATCTGTATCTTTTTTTAACACAGATAGTTCTGGAAAAACAAAAAGTGTGCCCTAGGTAAAAGGTAATCAATATTCAGGGTTAAGTGGTACAACAGCTAAGGCTGATCTTTGCCCTGTGATCATTGATTAATAAAGACTCTAAAAAAATCATCTACATTGATTTTTAAAAGTGTCATCCCCTTTGGTATTTTATGTATGTTATTATCTACATATTACTAAAATAACTTCATCAGATGTTTTCTATTTTCTCTTCAATTCGTGGTGTTTGAAAAATGCATTTGTGGTTGATTGTTAAGGTTATTTTTTGATAGCGCGTGGCCTTGATCCATTTTCGTCAATAAAGTTACTACGCATGCGGCTTTCCGCCGAAATTCTAATTTGACCTAGTTTTCCGTATCCGATGTATTTTGTCAATTTGAGCTGCCCCTGTGCCCATGGTGCAGCTAAACAAAGGAAATCTGTACGCTGTACCATACGCAGCGCAAACATCCTTGAGATATGTTAATTGTAGTAAATAAAAACGCTTCCTGTAAATTTGATTAATGCAGTTTTGCAGGCGAATTTAGCTACGTCAAGGTCGTGACCATCTACAATATTATTGCCACCTTTTTCGCGGTAAGGTTGCGGCTGTTGCTCAAATGCAACAACCTCGTGTCGAATTTTTATGCAAATTTTTTCGGTTACTTTCGTAATTTATGTTGACGTGCCTGCATGGACGAATCAAAAGTTCGAGCCGGAAACTCTGAACGGTTGATTTGTTAAATCGGGCAAGCACGATCCAGCCTAAGTGGAATACGTATTAGGTATCATGTGGGGAATTGCTAATCAGCAGTTGAAATATTGAAAACTAACGGAAAGTTCTGTTCTTTTTGATTCTACTGTATAATACAAAAATTAAATTTTGAAAGGCCTATTTGATTTTTTTTTTGTACTGTTCTTGATTCTTTTAGTTACTCTTCTTGCTTTTACTCGAAAATGGACAACTTTGGTTGCATCTTCAGAAGCAAAGTGTAACTGAGTTACACTTTGCTCCTGAAGACAATTACTTAAAGCACTTTGTGTTTTGTTTTGGTGCTGGAAAATATTTCATATATTTGTCTTGTTGCTTTGTTTTTATGCAGTTTCGATGTTGAAAAAACCAACGTTGTCAAAACTGATCACCTACATCTTTAATCTGTTTGTATGCCATAATTACGAATTCGTATCGGTAAATTAAACTCTGAAATCGACCGGGTATCCTTTCTTTGCCGCTTGTTTGTTTTGATGACGTCAGGATGCAATTATCTCGGTTGGCGGGGGAATGTTCCGTGCATGCGCCGTACGTCGATAGCGAGCCGTTTCCAAAACAACGAGCGATCGCGCACGGCCATGGAATTCGCCGGCAACTGTTTCGATAATTTCCAAGCCGACTACTCGGCTCGGCCTGCTGGATCCAATGCGCGTTCGGTGCGTGGACAACCGAAGTTTCTTTGTTTTCGAACGAGAGGAGATTTGATTTTGAGAGTCGAAATTGCGTAATGCTAATGTCTTCAGTTTAAAATAATTCTGAGAATTATACATCGCGTTTTTATGGTTGTCATTAAAAATAACTTTGATTTTTATCAAGTTTTACTTGATTTATGTTGCTTCCTGGATTAAAACTGTAATTTTGCTTAAATTTTCCACATTGAACTTGTTGGTGTCTTAAATGATAGAATGATATGTTGTTTGGCTTAAATTTGAATTTTAATAAGGTTAACATTGTTTTTTAAGTAAAATTACGTTTATTCCTTAAATAAGAATGTTTATAAGCTTACATTTTCTATGGTGTACAAAAAAAAATCTGAAGGTTTACTTTAATGTTGGTTCATTTTAAAGAAAAAGTGTTTTAATGTAAAAAATATGTTTCTTCCTCGATTAGGGCTGTTATTTTGCCAAAATTTTCCCCGATCAACTTGTTGGTGTCAAGAATACTTACGTCGATTCCTGTCGGGTGAATTCTGATGATGACTTCGTCGGTTTCGGCGTGATGTTTGCAAACGTCCCCGCAAACTTCCCGTCCATTGTACGTGACGAAACATTTTTGGCCGGCCACTAGTTCGGTGCCCAAGACAGATTGGAAACCGGGACCTATGAGATCGTTTTCGAGGAATTCGGCGGTGGTTCTACCGAGGTTTCCTTGCCTCGAATCGAAGTGAACAGTGTAAATGGTGTTCGGTGTGAGATTTATGCAGTTGTTGTTTTCTTGGTGATTTGCCGGAGTTTTGACGGCTTTGATGACTCCGCAGTAGTATTTGCCGTCTTCTCCGGGGGCACAGACTCTGGTGCCGATGATGGAGCGTTTGGCTAGACGTTTTCCAGTTGACATTTTGTAATATAATTAAGAAAACACGATATAAACTACGTATATACTATAAGAAAAGTTCAGTTTGTTTATTCACAAAACCACATCGTCAGTGTAGTACAACCGTCTGACCAGTAACTTTTGCACCGATTGCTGTTGATGATTGAAGCACTCTACACAAACATCGAGTAACAATTCTACCAATTTGTTGTCGTAACTCAAACACATACTCATAATAATGTACAGGTGGGTGTTTGTATTATTTTCGGAAGCTCCGCCGTGTCAAGCAGTCAAACGCGCACTGACTTAGCCGGCCGGTCTCCGCTAACAGCTGATCGACACCCAACCTGACCGGTATGTCTGTCTTTGTCGTGCGCGCGCGGTTAGACGGAGAGGTCGAAGGCATCACGCCATGGTTGCCACGTTTATTCCGAACCCGGCTCGACGGTAACAAAGGATGCTTAGGCGAGCTGCTGACTCCCTTCGATTTTTCTGTCTTTACGAGAAGTTGTATTGTCTTTTCTTTAGGTTTTTGTTATGTATAGTAAAAGCTTTGGTGAGAGAAATTTGACTTCATTAATTTTATGCCTTATTTCTCTGCAGTGGTCAGTATTTTTAGTTTTGTAAATATGTTTAATCAAAGTTGCGGTTGATTTGATAAGTAAGGAATTTTTAATTTTTACTATGATTGTCTTTCTTTGTAATTCTAGAAAACAATCATCACAAAGTAATGGTATCTCTACAAAATATAAAGAAGCACTATGTCGTGGTATAGTTTGGTTTTCTTGAACTAGGCTGAGTGATTATAAGTAACTCCATAAGAAATAGTCTGATGGTGTCAGATCTGGAGTTCTGGGGGGCCATATTATTGGTCATCTACCAAGTCACTAATCTGGGTAATTTTGACCCAGCCAAGCCCTAACAGCTACTACATTTTGAGATGGTGCTTCATCTTGTTGAAAATGTAATACATTTTCATTCAAAGCTAGTTCATCATCCTCTTCTATTTGGTTTTCTAGTTCATTTATTATGGGTGACTGTATTGTTTCATCTAACATTTCAAAATAAATTTGACCATTCAAATTTTGGTCAATAAATAAGGGACCAACAATACAATCTTCCAAAATTCCTGCCAAGACTATAAGTTTTTTAGGATCTCTGATGAGAAGGATTTCCATTGCTCCAATAACGACAATTTTGTTTGTTAACATTTCCATTTAGATAAAAAGTACACTTATCGCTAAATCAAATGTGTTTTAGTATTTGAATCTGATTTGTTATTTTATTGGGCATAATTTCACATAACACCTGTCTGCATTATCATTGCCAAGATCTTATGCAACGTTTGAATGGGTGGAATTTGTGATGTTTCAACAGACTCAGGGCAAGCCCTGTTAATCTAGATACCGAACGGAGTGATATTGTGGGACCTACACCAAACTGACCAAGACCCTCAAAATGAGTATCCTAGGTTGGTTTATGTTTCGATTTTAGCCGTAAACCATTGTGTGAACCATTTTGGAAAACAGACAATACTATTTAAAATATTAAAAATATTCAGCATGAAGTTTTAATAAATCCGATACAAAAAACATACACAATGCATTGTGGATTGAAATTGTTCAAAAATGACATTTTATTTGCGACAAAAATTTCAAAATAATAAAATTAGAAAATCAAAAATTTAAGTGTTTTTTACTAATGATTTTATGCACTTCAACTTATCTGTTTATTAAACTTTGTACTTATCCATATTCTGTTTATTTTTAATTTTTGGTGAGATGATAAGATTTCCTTTGTTTTATAGTTCTATTTTGTTTTCTATATTTTATTTGTTTTACAATATTGTCAATTATATGAAAACACTGCTATATGTAAATAATAATGTTACGAAAAGGCCTTCTACTGTATACAAAATGGCACCCCTTTAATTGAAAACCCATACCTTTTAACCTAAAATCCCTCGAATCCACAAAATAAGACACAACATGGCAACACCGCTGTCGTACAGATTCCGGAGCGAGCCCCGGTTTACAGCTGATGATAACAACAAAGACACGTGACCGCGCAGCCCTTCGTCATTGGTCGGGAGCGCGTGACCTACTTAGAGCTATTGGCCAACCGGGGGTGGGGGAAAAGGTCACACACATAGCACACTAGATCACAGCGGCAACCGGCGAACAGAGTTTCGCTGCTTTTGGCCTCTAGCCGCCGATTTTCTTTGTTGTTTCGATCTGCGTTGCGTTGGTTGGCGGGTGACGCCGCCGCCGTTGCATCGATGCAAGGCAACGTCGCAAATGTTTGATCGGGGGTTTTTGTGGGTGAAATGTCGATAGATTTTATATCCTAATTGCAATTGCAATTACCATAAAAATGCAATTAAAAAAATTAATTTACGAAAAATATTATCTACACCTGATGATAACTTATCTAATAATTACTGCGATTAAAAAACGATAATTTTATCGCGCTTAAATTAATAAAATACGAGAAAATAATTTTTTAATAAATAATTTATCTAGATCCTGTTGCTACAATTTAATTAATTTTAATTGGTCATTTTAACAGACTTAATAAAAACAAAACGATCAGTAATTCTATTGTTACAGTAGAATACATTTCAGAATTTGAAATAATGAAAGTTGCATGAAATTTTTGCTGATTAATGGACAGTGATATCTTTACGTTAAAAAAGAAATACTTTCTATGCTTGCCTTGGTAAAAATTAGTTTAAAATGAATTACACAGTAAAAAAATATTTGTTAATGTTTTATTTTATGAAAAGAATTTTGATAAGAAATGTTGCTTTATGAATCAATTCTCTAAACAAAAAACTTAACACATATCTACATAAATAAACACAAAAATAACATACACACAATTAAATAACACACCATTCTAAAATCATTAAATTATAAAGAAATTTAGTACAATATAATTCACTCTATCCCCTAATTTCAGTTTGAAAACCAGTGATGGCATCTTTTTTCGGATACTTGGCACACTCGTTAAATAAAGTATAAGGAATCCGAATAACAATAATAACAGATTTCTGGTAATATAATATAACTCTCTGGACAGTTGTTACGAACACGTTACGAATTAGAATAAAGTAAGCAGAAACATAAGTTGCAGACGCTGAAGTCAGTTGAACTTGTTGATGCGTATTGTCAGTGCCCATGGGAAATGTTTTGATTGACTGCCTGAAATCACGTGTACTTTCAACGAAATAATTTGTTAAACATTTACAAAATAATCTGTAATCTTTGAAATTAAAAAATGCTTACAAAACTTTCGGTAAAATATTTTCCTTTGTTAAAATAATAACAACCCGGGTTTTCTACAAAAAAAAATATGTTAAAATTTTACAAATAAATAAACTACAAACTCATGTTAACAAATCTGATTTTTATAACAGTTTAAAAATAATTATGATATCAGATACTTGATCGTTTCTGTAATATTCAAAAATATAGGAAAAAATAGGTATCAGAAAAGTGTGGGGGTTTGCGTTATACGTTAAAAGGTTGGCACGCGACATGTATTGATTGTGTAGCTTCCAGCTTTTGCGGTTTTTAGACAATGAAATTACTCAATTAATTTACAAGAATAACACATTTCTATACACCATTGTTATTCTTTAGTTTTAAACACAGTCTGTGGTTTTAAATTACTGTAAATCATAATAGAGCTATCAATGATATGTGCTAAAAGTGACAATTTATAAAGATAATATCAAAAGTTCTAAAAAAGGCGTTTCAATTATAATATAATATATTAAGAGAATGTCATGAACAGGATTAATTAAAAAAACAGAAATATTTAACTAAAGAAAACTTACTGGTATTTTGAAAACCTAACCTTAATTGAACCTCAATACGACTTGTTGCTTAATAAAAACTGCTAATTCTAGCTGTGTAGCGTGTATGTACCCCCGTGCACCTCAATAATAAAATTATAAATTTTACTAATCAAGACAAAAACTATAAAAGTTCAGACAACAGTTTTACATAATTTAATCTGAATTAAAACAAGAACACCAGCTCTACACACACCAACACAAACTGCCATCCACCACATCTTCAGTCATGTGATATAAAACCATCAATAGAGCAAGCCAAGTTTTATAAGTGGATTTTCCATTGTTCTTTTAGCGCTTTAACTTAATAACAAGATGGTAAAGTTATTAAGGTACCAATAAACATAATTATATTTTTACCAATTAGGTAAGTACACCAAAACAAAACGAAAAGAATTTTGCAATTTTCCAAGAAATTAGCATTATTTCTTTGTCCAAGTAAAGCTTTATTCCCACTTGGAATATCCAGGAGCAATTATAAAAATCGTTTTATTTTGCTAGTTTAATATATTAATTAATTTTGTTGTAGTCTACTTACTTTAGGATGTTTTAAAGGAAATTAATAAATAATTTAAACTTAATTTATTTTACCCGAAGTGTCGGAAACAGCAGGTAAAAGTTTGAAGAAAACAAGTTTTTGATTTTTTCTTAATTACTTTTAAATTGCATTTAAATTAACTTATTATTATTATTAGACTAAGAATTCGGGTGCCAAAATAATCAAAGTAGAGGTCGTAAAAATATTTTTAAACGTTTTTATTGGGGTTTTAAAAATATTACACAAATAATTCTATATTATGGGGTAATATATTAAACAAGGTTTGTACACAAAAATAAAACATGTATAGTATTATTAATCAGTTCTACTTTATATGGTAAAAAATAATAATTTTTAGTAACTATTTTTAACTTTTTTGTTTTTTTTTTAATCGATGTAAAAAGAAAACGTCGCTATAATTTTTAGAGAATTTTTGAAGGGAAATTTTTCGAACTAACACAGAAATTAATTCATAATGGATACTTTAACAATTAATATATTTATGTTGCCTAAAGACTCGTATATCCTTTAAGGAAGTTGCCATTAGGAACCTGTTATAATGCCTAGGTCAATCGTACAAGTATTGTGTATAATATTTTTAACACTGCAGAAAACGTTAAAAAACAAGTTTATCAATAACTAATTTGCGTACCCAAATGTCACTTGTTTTAAATTTATTTGTTTTTATGCAAATGCTACAAGTCTAGCTGTTGGTACTATGAAACTCAGTTTTTAAGTCGTTTAAGTTTGCATTTAAATTTTTGTTGTATTTAAATTATTTTGGATTTGATTTTTTAAATATTTCATGGTGAATATTTTTGGGTGGTTCAGAAAAGGTATTGACCTGGCATTTCCTGATTATTGTTAAACCGTTTAACTTAAACGATTTAATACATTTTTAATTGTGTTTTAATGTAC